GCATCAGGATTGGAGGAAGACTCATCAACAACCTATATTATGCAGATGATACAACCTTGCTTGCTACAACCAAGAAGAACCTGAAACACTTGTGGCAGAAGGTAAAGACTATAATCTTAAATATGGATTAAAGCTCACCATCTAGAAAAGAAAGATTCTCACCACTGGGCCAATTGACAGCACCATGATAGATGAAGAAGAGATTGAATTGTTAACAATTACAGCTTGCTCAGCTTCACAATCAATAATCTTGGCTCCAGCAGTCAGGAAATAAAAATATGAATTACACTAGGGAAAATCTGCTGTCGGGGACCTCTACAGAGTGCTGAGAAACAACAATGTCAGTCTGGAGAATAAGGTACACCTGATCCCAGCCATGGTCTTTGTAATTGCTTGTTATCCAGTAGAGAGCTGGACAATGACTAAGGATGACAGAAGAATAATTGATGCTTTTGAGTTGTGGTGCTGGAGAAGAGTCTTGAACATACCATGGACTGTCAAAAGAACAAATACCAATTTTGGTCTGTCTCAGAGAGGGTGAAACCAAATTTCTCTTCAGAGGCCAGGATTTTGAAGCTCTGTCTCACACACATACTTTGGGCACGTGCCTGGAGAAGGACATCATATTTGGAAGGGTGGAGGGGCAGCACAGAATAGGAAGACCCCAGATGAGATGGACTGATTTAGTAACTAGGGAAATGACTCAGGACAGGGCAGGCTTCAGAGCAGTTTTACATAAGGTCAGTATGAGTTGCAGGTGACTCAATGGCATATAACAACAACATCTACTACATCTAAAATATAGGGAGCTCTGATAGGCTAGTGATAAGGAGTTGTGTTGCCAACCCAAAGGCACGTGGTTTGAGTCCACCAGTAGCTTCAAGGGAAAAGATGGGCAATTATCTCACCAGCAGGTGGACCAGCTGTGAGTCAGTTTTCACTCATAACAACAACAAATATCTAAAAACAATTATTTTTTATAATTTTGCATGTATTTTATAAAGTGATTATAAATTATTTTTAAAAAGTAATTATGCAAGTATTTTGTAAACTGAGACACTCCACTCAATTATTTTTTTAGAAAAGAAGGATAATTACACCTGAAAGGAAATTTTTCTATAAAATAATCTTGCACTGTAAAAGGAAGACCATAGGAGACATCATGCAAGTGAGAAATGGCCATATTCCAAGAGCTTCATAGCTGGAATGTCTTTTTTGTTATCTCCATGAAGGAGCAAAGTACTGGGATGTGAGTAGAGTGGGATTAAGATATTCATGTCTTGCACAGGGCCACCAAACTCAGATCAATGAATTTCAAGAAACTAAGGAGTCATTCCTTCATATGGTGCTTCACAGAGTCCAAATACATCTAGATCAGAAACAGATTCTCTGGAGTGGTCACTGGCCATTGCTACTGTACTGGTATGATTTAATACCTGTTGATACTCTACTTGTCTATGTCCATATTGGCACTGATACCAGGAAAACAGAGAAACCTTATGACTATACGGCCCTCAGTTCTTGCCATGCTAGGAAACGGCATCACAAATCATGCTAGGAAACTGCATCACAAATCCATTAGAAATAGTAGATAATCTGCCAAGAAATAGCCTGTGTAAAGGTGTCAGATTTCCTGAGCGTTTTATAGATTTAATATAGCTCCTAATGTGTTTCTGTTCCATCTGTTGAGATATTTTAACATTCTTCTAGAATATGAAAATTAAAATTACCTTTTAACAAAGAAACAGGGTTCTGAAACCAACACTTTAAGATGTTATAAAAATATTACTGTGGTGGAACAAATAGTAACTCTAAAGCATACACTTTGTGAAGAATAATTTAATATGAGATAAAGGGTTTATTTTTTAATCAATGAGAAAAGAGAATTAATTCAATATCTGACATCAGAAAAATGGATGGTTTGGAAAAAAATTCACAGTAGAACCCCACCTAATATGACTGCCAAAAATAAATTTTCACAGAACATTAAAATTATATATGTTATCACTTCCATGGTCTATGGATTAGGAAGCCATTTCCAAATACAAAATAGGAAAACAACCACAAAAGAAAGGATAGATTTATCCACATATTATTTTCAAACTTTGACATATCCAAAGAAAAAATTCTGTTATTTATATATAAATTCATAAACAATATTTTTAAATATAGCATTGATGGATAAATAATCTTTATACAGAGAGTTTGAAAATCAAACACTATTATCTCAACACAAAAATTAACACAGTATATTGTACATTGACTAATGGACACACAAAGATATGTGGGTCAAGTCTAGTAGCTGGTCTATGGTAGAAAGATGGGCATTCTACTCATATGTGATTTATTGTTTCTGAAAATCTGGAGAGTCAGCTATAGGTCCATTCAGACTCAAAGGTACCTAAGAACAACAAAAAGCAGGTACAAGAAAATATGTCCTCTTTCAATATGTCCTAGTTCTGAAAAGAATGTTAGAAACTACTTTTCTTTTTTTTAAATCAGCAGAGTGGTTGGCATTGTTATTATCTGTTGGTGAGGTTAGAACAAGGTAGGGACTCTCCCTCACTGGTAACCAAAGTACAAACTGGAACAATCTTGGTGGAAAGTAATTTTGCACTTCAACAATTTGTTCTAAGAGCCTTTAAAATGTTCATAGTTTACTCTTTGACATGATAATCCAACTTTGCTAAGAATCAGTCTTAACAAAATAATGAGATGAACACAAACATTTTGGTCACAGACATTAAACCAAAAGAGTATTTTCCAAATGTTGCTCTATGAAGAACTTGTGTTTGGAGTCATGTGAATAAGACAAATATGGGCTTGCTTTTATGGAGATTACCATCTACGAGCTTAAAAAGGATGCTAATCATGTAATTTCTAATGTATAAACTCTGGAAACTAAGTTATAAACAATAGGGAGTGAGTAAATAAATTATGGTATATTCAATAAAGTCATTAAAATGATTTTTTTAACAGTGGCATAATGAAATAATTTTTTTT